CGCCAAAAAAATTAAATTTTATCAAAATATAATCTTTCACAAATCTTTGGTATGCTATGCAACCTTTCTAAATATCTTCTAAAAAATTTTTAAATTAAATGCGAAAAAGATACGAAAATATTTGGAAAAATTGCATATCATACCAAAGTTTTTTGAAAAAAATACTTGCGAAAAAGATTTATTGTTCTACTTATGAGTAGCTATATAACAAAAAAAAATTTTAGTAAATCAATTAATATTTATGACTTAAGTAAAGTTATTCGGGATAATAAAGTGCATGTATTTTGAAATTTCATGTAAATAAAATAACTTATTAATTTACTTTTGCATATTATATTTACACGAAAAAATTTAAATTTTCATATAAACGTAAGTGCGGAAGTGAATTAATAAAAAGTTATTCAATAGACATAAAAATTTCAGAACATATGCAATTTATTATCCCGAACAACTTTACTTAAGGCATAAATATTTTAATTGCTTTAGTAAAAATTTAATATTAATATATAGCTACGATTATCGATTAGAAAAGTAATAAAATTCGATAACTTTTTATGCAAATGACCTTAATGACCCAAATGACTGGTCACTACCTGCTGACTTGGGGTCATTTAAATTTTGATCAAGTGACCAGGTCATTTACCATCCTTGGGTTGCGCAGCCTGCACATTACGTAGTACTAGATTATCTACGTTACATACATACGTACGTACGTACTGTACGTACGTGCATATCAATACGTATAGTTTTATTTTCGTATTGGAAATTGTCGGATTTTTGTCCTAACCTAATGATTACGTTCATTTGCCTATATCTACTAACCAACGTCACGTGCGCGAACAACCGAATGACATTATTTGTACATTAACGGTCCTCCACTCCGGGCATAACTTAATTACGTAAACAAAGACACATTTATTCACGGCGTTACTCATGACATTGAATTTATATTACAGTCGAAATAATCTTGCTATGCAAACTTTGAATTTTTAAATAACTATAAAACGCAATAATTTTTACTTTATAAAAATATGACAAATAATTTGACAGAATCGACTGGAAACTTTAAAATTAAAAAATATGATTTTACTGAATTTTCTAATTTAGAAGAAATCGGTAGAGGTGCATTCGGGACTGTATATAAAGTAGCGTGGGGAAATTTAACTATCGCTCTTAAAAACGTTAATAGAACTATTAATACCAATAAATCCAAAATTAATGGTTTTGATAAGGAGGTAATATTGTATTCGTAAAGGTATGCTCAAATTAGTTTTTATTATCTAAAAAATAATTCCTTACTAGTCATTTTATAATATTTATAGCTTCATACTTTTGCAAAACTTGGTAAACATGAACATCCAAATATTATCAAATTTTATGGAACTACAAAAGGTAATAGAATAAAGTGGAATAAAGTGTCATTTTACTCTATTATTTATCTCAACATAATAATGATAACCTCATATTATAAACAGATCCTATTAATGGCCATGATTATTTGATTTTACAATTTGCTGTGGATGGGAATTTCCGTGAATTCTTAAAGAAGAACTTTCAAGAATTAAAATGGTTTGATAAATTACGATTTGCACAAGAAATAGCTGAGGGATTATCATTTTTACATGCTAACGGAATGGTTCATCGAGATCTTGTAAGAATTTCCTATAAGTATATGTTTAATTATGTATCTTAACAAATTTATTAACTGTAATTTTTTAATATACGTAATAGCATTCAAAGAATATTTTAGTTCATAATCGACGAATGTTGATTGCGGATTTTGGAGTATCTAGACATGAAAATGATGAAACGAGTGTTGTAACTGATGGTGTATACGGATATGTAGAACTTCAATATCTTAAAGATCTTAATTATAGACGTGACAAAAAATCTGATATTTATAGTTTTGGTGTAATTCTTTGGGAGATTTCTAGTGGCAGGCCACCTTTTAGTCATTTTACGACTAGTCTAGCAATTATTCATCATGTTAATAGTGGAGGAAGGGAATCCCCAATAGAAAAAACACCTGTTGATTATAATGAACTTTACCAACATTGTTGGGATCAAGACCCTGCTGTGCGTCCAGAAATAAAGCAAGTCCTTGAAGATTTAAAAAAGATTCGATCAAATGAAAATTTTTCAAATGTGATTACTCCTGAACAAATTGAACAAATTATTTCTTGGATTGATCCTTCATCTTCCAGTATTAATCATGGTCTTGAATTAATTCTCAGAGGTAGCCAAGATGGTTTTACCGAAAATACCTTTTACAAAAAGTGCAAAAATATAAATAAAACAGTAATAGTTTTGAAAGTTCGGGAAACAAATGAGATTCTTGGTGGATATAACCCGCTTACTTGGGATAAGCAGGATAAGAAATACAAAGAAACAAATGATAGCTTTATTTTTGCTTTAAAAGAAAATGTTATAGGTTCTATATATAGCAGAGTTAAGCGTGCTGATTGCGCAATTTATTGTAAAAAAAACTCTGGTCCATCTTTTGGTTATTCCGACCTATACATGGTTAAAGGTAAAAAAAAGGGAGGGATATGGGGATGCTATCTATGTGATTATGAAAATCCAATTAAAATTGACAATGGATTTCAAGGATCTCAAAAATCTCAAGTAAAAAAATTTCAAATAGAAGAATTCGAAGTGTTCCAATATTTATAGATTCATTGGTATAAGTTTATCTATTATTCTAAAATATCACCTTTTTACATCTTGAATTGACTTTCTATTTATATTATCGTTATTTGTGTGCAATGTTAAGGGAAATTTGTTAGGGCCATAGTTCAAAAGTGATAGGTGACAATTAATTACAAATATGATGAAATCTTAAATATATACATTGAATTTGGTAAAATAATCAAGGTTGTAAAGATTGCAAATAGTACTCCTAATGGAATGGGTTTTTATAGATTAACTTGATCAAAGGCCTGACTCGTTTAATTAATATAAATTAAAAATAAACCATAAGTAATATTGTATATAAAATAATATAGAAAATAAAGAGAAACAATTTGTTTCTATTTATCGTTATAGTATTTATATAAATTAATTTTCTAATTGTAATTTTGCTTTATTTTTATCAAAGTGGATAAATAATTAATATCCAACACATTTAGTAGCTTAAAAACATAAAAGTTTATAGCAAACTATTTTTGAATATCTAGGTATTTTTAAAAAATATTTAAGCAGAATAATATGGTTTTCCTCTTCAAAAATAAAACAAAACTTGACTTTAAAAAAAATCAATTTAATACTGTAATATAACTGGTACAAGTGCTTCATCTTACTATATATTCATAAAATAATTTGCAAGAGTGTAATTTCAAATTTCCATTTTAATTAAGTTGCATGTTTGTTATTTTTTGCATATCTGAATTATACTTGTAGCCAAAAAATTTTTTCTATTTCAGTCACATTGTGGACTCTAAAAGTAAAATAAATTGTTAAAAACAGTAACTTTTATTTAACATGGAACAATGTACCGGTAGAACACAAAACTCGCTGATTTATTTGATATCTACAAAATGCAAAAAATACTGCCAAGTGACATTTACTCAATAGAACAAACAGCTGGCAAGAGATTCGGCAGAATACAAACTGGGACAGCACACACCAATTTATCAACTATGACAACAAGCCACATACAAGGTTTATACACCCAAAATTATTACAAAAAAAGAACTTCAAAATTAAATTTCTATTAGATAAGCTGCCAACACTACTTAATCTACATTACTGATACCCAAAGAAATATACAAACCCAACATGTAACAGATGTACCCAAGCAATTGAGGACAATACCTACTGACTAATCTGCCTTCTGAATCCAACATCCCTACGTCAACTGATAACAGAGACTGTTACAAAATTCAGTTCAAAAAAGAACAACCAGCTACCAGACTTCACAATACTAGTGCAAAGCTTCTTCATAAATGGTACAGATATCCCTAATATCTACTATTAAAAGGATTAATCCCAGAGAATATCTAGACTATCACATCTATCCACAATAAAATATTCACCAAAATATTATACAAAATATCAACTAATATATATAAACAAATCTGGCTTGAATGCTGCAAAGGTATATACCAGAGTAGACTCCTTATTGACACATTCACTGCTACAACCCTTAACTTACCCATCTACACAGCAGATTAGCACAACCAAATATAACAAATGGGAAACTCTGTTTCCCACAACTAACATATCCTCATCATACATAGGTAAACTAAATCTAGTGGAGGCCAGGTAGTCCACTCTAGTAGAGCTTTGGACTGAAGATAAACTAGTCCTAGCTGTAGATCTCTGTAATAATTTATGTAATCTATTTAAATAATGTAATGCATAATTATTCAATAAAGACCGAGGCCAGGCCTTACTCTTAAAAAAAAAAATAATAATAATAAAAATAAAAATAAAAAAATAAATTGTTAGATTTTGCAAACAATTTCAAATAGTATAGGTGCAAAACATACATTTTTGATACTCCTGCGCCTACTTTTTTGATACATTAAGATGTACCCTAAAAATTTATATACTTTTTTGATACTTAAGTATCATCATCAAAATTCACACACATGATTATTGACACATGAATAAATGACTCTAGCATCACCCATAAAAAATGGTAGCTAGATAGATCTGTTGGTGATATATAATTTTGGATCAGATTATCAGACAATTTGGAATAAAGCATTGAAGTTAATCCTTTAAAAATTATCATTTGTTATGATAAGGTAGGTTTCAAATTTAGTTATTAAGTTTTTAATTCATAATTTTTTTCTTTTTTTTTATTGGTTTGTAATCTTCTTTTAATTATACACGTAGACATATAGTCAACTCTACAACAAACTTCTCTATAATGAACTCTCGATATAACGAACTAAATATCCTTAAATTTTACATTAGTTCTGTATAGAAAGGGTTATAGCTTCTTAAAAAAATATAGTAATTTTGTATAATGAACTTTTTTTTTGTATTCAGAATCACTAGTCTGTTATATAAAGTGTTGACAATATATGCATATTATATAAGACAACAAACAAACAATTTTTGATATTAACAGGGTGTGGCGATTTAGTGAAGTGGTGAAGTTGTCGCACCCCCAAGCGGTTGAGTACAAGTTCAATTCCCACTGGAG